ATTGCGCAATCGCTAGAATAATAATAGTTTGAAGCCGTTATTAAACTATCGATACATAATGGACCAATAACATTAATGTTGATTTATTGTGATTGGTTATTATAAATCGGTAGTCGGATCAGCCTATAGAATCGATAGTCTAAAGCTTTATTATTATGTATACGTATATATGGATGAATCTCAATGGATGTTTTCCGATGGAGGCTGAATATTTTTTTACTCTAGATTGCAGTCGGTTCATTTCCCATGATAAAATGTTGGAATATCCAAGATTCATCCCGTATACATATGAAAAAATGTTATATCATTATAATAAAATTACTAGATGTAAATTAAATACAAACATTTAATATTTGAAAAATTACATTTCTGCTTGCTTCAATTCTGGCATTTGACCTTCAATTGGAGCAGCAGCGGTAGTAGCTCTCTTGTAATTATTATATCAAGATACTTAAATTCAACATAATCCGACTCAACTAAAATATTCTGATCCTAAATTTTTTAAAAGAATTATTCAGGCAGGTTCATTTTTTATAAAATTAAAAGGTGCGAAATCAAAACACTACGACTAAATTCATTCATAATAACTATATAAAATTATACTAAAATAATGCATGTAAGAGTGATTAACTCGTAATTGACATATCGAATTCGATCATCATCCTGTATCAGTTTTGTAATTATTAAGGTAATTAGAGAATTGGAGCTCAATGTGAAGATAAGAGTAAAAGAATTATGAGATCATAATAACCCAGAAATTCAACTCTAATCATAGAACTACATTATACGAACGACAAATGATGAATCACAAAATCTGATACCAGTTTAATTAGATTTAACCAAATAACATAATAACTTTGCATATATCTAACTTGCCATTCGTATTCGGTAGCATGTCATTATTACTTATCGATGAGGTAGATTCAACATGTTCTTTATGCACTGAAACACGTTGTGTGGTACTACTTGAAGACCGATCCAACGTAGATGTTGTTTGAGCCTTCATGTCAGTTGCCGCTTTCTCTGCCGCCTTTTCTGCGGCCTTTTCAGCCGCCGCTTTTTTCATCAAATGCCATCGCTCGCACATTTTCTGATACGGATTTGTATGTTTTTTTGGTAATTGACTAGGACCTATCTGCCGAGTAACACTTGTAGCCGCTGAAGGATGAGCAACTCTTTTCTTACGTTCTTCTATAATTTCTTCCATATTCTCAGTGTCATCTTTCACAGATTTTTTAACTGATACTAGTTTCGGATAGTCTGAAGCTTGGTATTCCTGAGAAATGAATAAATATATACAACATAAACCGACGATACATTACATAAGTACTAAAATTATTACTTTTATTAATAAATTTTTATTTTTCATTAAATAAATCAAGGAAATTTTAAGTATCTCTAATTAAAATTTATATTAAAATGCAAGAATTTTAATTAAAATACAAGAATGAAGTAACATTATACATATCGACAAAAAATTAATTATTTTTATAATTAATAAACAATAAATTATAAATTAGTTTTATAATTGTCTATTGTCATAATTATAAAAAATAAAAGAATAAATAAACTTCCAAAGAAAATTATTTACGATTACATTTATATTTATTTATTATTTACCTCAAAAATTCTTAGGCACTCTTCTTGTACATCATGATCAGAATCAGATAGTTCCAAAATTTCATCATCAATGAAAGAATGATTACTGTCTACAAAACTATCAGATCTATCAGATGAATTTCTTTCGCTACTACTTTCTTTGTGCTTGCTAGATTTTTTAGGAGAGTCACTGGATCTCCGACTTGATTCCGAGTCATGCTTTTTGTCACTTCTGCTCGAAGTGTGCTTACTTGACTTAGAAGTGGATGAATTTGAACTTGATTTATGTTTGTCGCGTCGGCTAGATTTGTGATGATCATTTCGGTCTTTCTTCGGAGAGGTGTGTCGGTGCTTTCGCGAGTTCGAGTGTTCTCTATTTCCATGCAAAGAGTCTTTACTATCGCGACTGCTTCTTTTCCTATCTTTGTCTCTGCTAGATGAGGAGCGATGCTTATCTTTAGAATTTGATTTATCTCTAGATCTTTCCTTGTCCTTTTTCTCAGAACTATGATGATCTCTTTTATCTCTTTCTTTATTTTTATTATGACTTTTATGTTTTTCTTTTTCCTTATCAGCGTCCTGTTTTACAGTGTCTCTTTTATCCAATAATTTTTTCGAATCACTCTCTTTATATTGTTTAGATCTATCGCTATTTTGTATATCACCCATTTTTTCATCATAATGATTGCTGTATATTTTATTATCTTTATTGCTAGTTTGTTTATCTGTATCAATTCTTACATGTTGTAAATTCTCCTTCTCCTTCTCATTTACATCTTCCGTTTGCTCAGATTTTTTTATGTTCGCCTTATGTTCATCCGTAGACATATCTTCTATAGGTTCGTCATCGGAGAATCTAGGCTCAATATCCAAGGAATAATCCTGAGAATCCTCGCTAGCCGACGCTTTCGCTTGTTCTAGCATTACAGAAGTAGATGCGTGATTGGAAGTAATAATCTCATCTATCATATCAAAATCAGACTCAAATTGATTTAAAGTGGTGTTGTTTAACTGCTGAACTGTCTGTAATGGTGCTTTGATTTTTTTAGGAACGTACTCCTCCCTTCTCTTTTTAGATTTCGGATAATATACCTCCTTAAATTTAGGTTGATAATCATTCGAATTACTATCATCATACGAATTCGACAAAGATGTATCCAATTTAACAGTCGGTACATAATTTTGTACAACATCCTGATCGGTTGTATTTACTATTGCAGTGGGTTTATATGTAACTTCAGGCGTAACTTGAGGACTGCTCGATTCCTGAACGACACTCGACCATGGTTTAATTCTTTCTGGTGAGAATTTACGTTTCACAGCCACTCTACTCTCCCTGGTCGGCATATACGAGACCACAGGTATATGCCGTTTCTTCAGTTCCGCTATTGGCGTCGGATTGTAAACACAAGCAACTGGTTTTGTGATAGGTGTGGGCATTGCGACATGCTTTCCTATAATTGGCGTAGCATTGTGCATACAGACAGTGGAGCTAGAAGATAATGTCGGTTTAAGACCTTCCACTACTTGCGAGACAATGTTCTGCGAAACCTGCGAAACCTTCTCTGTATCAGTAACTTCTTGATCTGCAAGCACTTTCTTTACAGCTTCCGTCACTAGATGTTGCAGCATATCAGGAGTCGAGGTCATAACATCAGCAGATTTGTTCTCCTGTATTTGACCCGCCGTCTGGGCCTCCACCACCCCAGCCACTCCTGCTGTACTTCCTGCATCTTCTACATAAAATAAAAATATCTTATTGTACTTTTATCCATTGGCTGTTATTTAATGAACCGGTTTGTAAATAATTTCTCAAAAAAAAAAATTCAATTTCTTAACTTTATAAACTTCTTGCATATTTAACAAATTATTCTAAACTTTCTTTTTTTAAATTTTAGACTATCAGCCCATTTTATTCAATCTAATCTTCAAATTAAATGTATAAAACAATTAATAAAACTATAAAAATATAAAGATTAAACTATTACATTAAAGATTAAATTATTTTGTAACAATCTTTTGCAAAAAAGAATGTATCTTTTATCTACATGCAATTAATTGCTACTTAATGAGCCAGCTTGTAATTTCTCAAAATATTTAAATCATTAATTTTAAAAATATCTTGCATATTTAATCTTGCAAATTATTTTAAACTTCCTTTTTAAACATTTAGGGCTGATTATTCCACTTTTTGATAAATTTTACCTGTTAGGTAAATCTGCGCATGTGATTGACTAATCTTGCTACTTATCCAACAAGTAAAATTTAACAAAAGGTGGAATAACCAGACCTTAGTATATCAGGCCACAAGTAGTTTAAATTTACTGAAAGTATGTTTAACCTTCAAATTAGACATATAAAATAATTAATAAATAATGAAAAATATTGTAAAAATATTGTAAAAATGTGATACTAACATGATTATAAATGAATATTATCATTATTATAACATTAAGGATTAAATTATTTTGTAATAATCTTTAACAAAAAGGTATTGTATACCTAATTCATTTGGTTTTCCATGATTCTTTGTCTTCCCTGGTACAGTGAACAAAGAAAGCAAACAAAGAATTTATTGCAAAGTCAAAACCTCATAAAATTTGATTCCACTAATGTAATATTAACTTTAATCTTGGTTTAATTTACTGTTTATCTTTTCTAATTTTTAGAAAAATAAAAATCATTCTTTAAATTAGAAAAAAATAATAAAAAATAAATTGAAGTCAATTTTACATTGATAGAACCAGGCCTAAATAATTGCGACTCAGCAACATGCGAGGAGAATAAGAATAACACAGTTAACACGCAGCTTTTTTTAAAATTCAATCAATTGGAATGAAGATCCTCTCGCGCATTAAATTACGTCAGAAAACGAAGTCGCGTGCCTCGAGGAAGACTACGGAATCATACGGTCTTACCTCGCTTGGCGTGCTTGAAGTGGCAATAAGGCCGATCGCACGAGCCGCCGTCATAAAACGGGCAATTTATCGTTTTGAAGTAACCGGTTGAGGGCAACATAATAATTGATTCATCGCACTCCACGCTTCGGGGAGGCCATTCTTCGTATACGTCGTCGTCCTTCTTACGGTGCAATTGTACGCAATTAACGCAACGTGCTGATCGACAGTACGTGCGACATGCTCGGCAAAGTGGTATTCACGCTACTCTCGCACGAAGAGATTTTTATATGCCAATCGCCGAAATTAAGAAGAAATCAAATACAGTGAGTCCCTATCGAATCAATTGAAATCCGCCTAGATCGGAGGTTATGGTTCTACGAATTCTACACACCGCCGTTCGGTAATATCATATTCGACGCATGCGAGAGGGCGCCACTATGTAAGCTGCTGCGCACAGCTGCGACCTCATTCTTGGATTCCGTTTTGAACCATCGACGAATCAAGTTGTCCTCTGAATTGCACGGGAATTAAAATACTTCTTCGGAATATTAAGTCAACGAAATTAGGGAACTCAACTTTACATCATGACTACCTATGGAATAAAAAGTTCTTATAAGAGTGAACAAGACAAATATTAAAGAAACTAAAGACGATTTTTTCTTTGATATTTATATCTTGGAGTGGCAAGATTTGCTGAATAGGTATGCATAGGGTAAAAGACTTTTCTGTAAATTTGTCTTAATTAATTTTGATAGCTTATATGTAGATAAATTTTTTATGCTTGCCTTAAATTTTATTTTTGAACGGAATGTCATTTTATTAATTATTCTGTTAATTTAATTCGTACATCTTATAAATTTGTCATAATTAATGAATAATATTTAAATAATATATTTTATAAGTTGTAATTAATTATTATTATTCAATTGTGAATTGTATTATAAAAACTAGTCAAATATTATTTTTATTATTGTAAGGATATTTCTTATAAATGTTAATCTGTTTGTTTATTATAGTTAATCAATTTTGCCTAAAAATATGTTATTCTTATACAAGGTGCGTCCCAAAATTTTCCGAACTTTTTCAATAGGGATAGGTCGGGTGGCGCCATCCGTGTGTTCGATTGCACGTTTGAAAGGTACATCCCTAGCTGACTTCCAGTAAAAATTTCATGACATTTGGTTCAGTGGAAACGAAGTTATGGCGTCTCAAGTGTCAGTATGTTGTATACATCGGTACGAGAATGAACTTCGAACAAAGAGCCAATATTAAGTTTTGTTTTAAACTTGGTAAAACATTTACCGAAACCCATAATTTGATGAAACAAGTTTATGGTGATAATTGTGTAGCCCGTGCCAGTGTTTATGAGTGGTATACGCGATTCAAGAACGGTCGTGAGGACATAAATGACGACGCACATACAGGTCGCCCAAAATCGACAATTAACGAAAATTCCATCGAAGTTGTGCGTAATTTCATCAAGCATGAGCCAAAATCTTCAGTGAGATACATGGAAATGGAATTGAACATCCCCAAATCAACGATTTATCGCATTTTGACCGAACATTTGGGCCTACAAAAAGTCTGTGCACGATTTGTTCCACACAAGTTGACTGACGACCAAAAAATGCATCGAATTCAACATTCAAAGGACATTATTAAGGAAGCAAAAAAGGACCAAAACTTCCTTTATAGCATTGTTACTGGTGACGAGACGTGGTGTTTTCAATACGATCCAGAAACCAAGCGTCAAAGCGCGGAATGGAAGGCGCGAAACGACCCAAAACCCAAAAAATCGCGTTTAGAGAAGTCAAAAGTGAAGACAATGCTCATTTGTTTTTATGATTCCAAGGGTATTGTGCACAAAGAATTCGTTCCAGCAGGCCAAACAGTTAATGCTGTATTCTATGTAAGCGTTTTGAAGCGTTTGGTGCACCGCATTCGTCGTATTCGGCCAGAATATCGCGAAGGAGGAAGTTGGCGCTTGTTACACGATAATGCGCCATCTCACCGTTCGACACTTGTCACTGATTTTTTGACTAAAAATCACATTTTAACAATCAACCATTCCCCGTATTCGCCTGATATGGCACCTTGTGACTTCTACCTATTCGGCAAAATGCATTTGTCCATGAAAGGAAAGCGGTATGTGGACGTAGAAGACATCCAAAGGGCCAACTTACTTAGGTATTTACTTAGGTCGATAAAAAATAATAAATTAAAAAAAAGATTTCTGCGTTGTACAATATTTTTTCTAATTTTGTTCATATAATTTTAACATTAAAAAAATGTTTCTTTAAACGTTTGAATAATGAAAAAAGGGGAATTTTTTTTATTTTAAACGTTACTTTCATCATTACAAAAACATTTTCGTTAAATTTTAAAAAAACATTTTTTTAACATTAAAAAAAAATATTTTCTTGAAATATTAAAAAAATGTTTTTTTAGTATTAAACAAATTTTTTTTTAACGTTTGAATTAACGTTTTTTTAATGAAAAAAAGGAACTTTTTTCGTTATTTTAAACTTTTTTAATGTTTCCAAAAATGTTTAAAAAAACGTTTTTTCAAAACATTTTTTTCCCTATTGGGTATTGCCGCCAGTCGAAAAAATAATGACTTTATTTACTTTGCTACTTACTTTGCTCAATGATTTCTTAAAAACGATTATCGGAAGCCATATGCAAACAAATTTCATATTATTCCTTGTGATATCAAGTTTTATATCTGATTGTTTCAAAAAATTGTTAAGAAAAACTTTTTTATAATGAATAAGACTACTTTCGAAAATATAAGTTTTAGATAGGAATCCTGTATACATGTACATAATATATGTATATATATATTGGGTCATCTAAAAAGATTTTTTAAACAAACAACGCCGCTCGGTTTGCTACGAATATATCTATAAAAAACTAATAATTTCTAAGACCTTGTCTCAATCTATGTAGATTTCGAAAAAATTTTTCCTAAGCAATGACATTCTTTATTTATGTAACCTTTTAGTTCTAACACTCTCCAATTACAAATCTTTACTCTGGGCATCCTTAGGATATTTCTTGGAGAGAATTTGTCCAATTTAGATCTTCATTTTAGTCTCTATTCTATTCTCATTCACTGGATTAGCCAAAAAAGAAATTTCATTCTAGTATTTTAAAAAAACTTTAATGTTGGTTACAAGAATATTGAATAGAAAAATGGAGGTTTATTCCGCTAAAAATTTTAAATTTTGACTTTGAAAACTCCTCTATACTTACTCTCAAGATCAAATAGGAATCATCATTTGATACATTTATTGAAATTTTACAACTTTTATATGAAATATTTTTTTCTCAAAAAAAAAATCTTGTTTTCAATATTTCACCTGTCTAGAATTTTTTTGTCATCTTGCATTCATTCAAGGCTAATCTTTATAGTGCTTAAACTTTTATAGTAGTGTCTATTATAAACTTTTGTATACATTTTTATAATTTTCAGTTCAAGCAAACTACGCAATTATTTGTCAGTCTATACAGCTTTAGAACAAAATTGAAGTATGTAATATCACCAGTTAACTGATAATTTAATATTACTTATGTTAAGCATCTATCAATTTAATTTGTGATATTACATACTCCATGAAGATGAAGATTACATATTTCAGCTTTGTTTTAAGACCGTAGAGCAGAATTTTCTAAATCAGGCACCGCGGGCTCTTAATCCTCTTGTCTCTCGCCTGTTCATGCTTGTCCTCGATCATGGATCCAATGCTTCTCCTCTATTCGTGGCTGTGTACCGGCGCGGTGATATCATTTCGTATAGCAATCAGGAGCAGTTTCGTATTTGAAAGATAGATACGTATACTGAGAAAGAGACAAAAGCAAAAGAAGCCATATTTATGATTTATTTTATTTTCGTTTAAGAACTCTATTAATCCTAAGTTATATTTGTATACTCTGAATACGTGGCGGGAAGACTGGAAGCATTGGAGGAAGTAAAATTGAGAGGTTTACCGTCTACTTATCATTGAAATGATGAGGACACGATCACATGACCGATCATTTGGAAGGCCGTAGAGTTTCAAGATCGTAAATATAACCGTGCAACAGTTTGCTTGAACTGAAAATTTTAAAAATTCACACAAAAATGTTATTAGGCACTAAGACCTGTCTTAACCGAATATGGCTTTCTTCACTCATTTGTATTGAATATCTCTCAATTCATTTTTACTTAATTGAAAATTTATTTACAGATATTTTATACTTCACGTAAAAATTTATCAGAATAAAGTATAAAATATCTCATAAAGTATCTTGTCTTTTTAATATCTTTACTTTAATATTTTTATATTCAAAATAATTAGAGGAATCATATTATGTAAAGAAACTATATAAATTCTATTTTAGAAAGTGGAGATGACTTCGATGACTTCTTTTTTAACTCTTTCATTTAGAAAAAAAACGTGACCAATATACATAACCTCGAATCCGTTCTATTTTTATCTGAAACATTTTCTTTCATTAACAATTTTGAAGAAAATTGCCTGTTCAAAATTAAGTGGGGCATTTCTGTAAATACGTATACGCGCACGCGAATTTTGGGACACCCTGTATACACAATTGATACCTGTGTAGGCAAATATATAGCAATTATCAGTGCGTCATAAACAATTGTAGATTTGCGTGATTTTGTTAAGACATACTTTTAGTTTTATGAAATGTTTTAATTTTAAAAGTCATTTTCTGATCAAATTAATTGGCTAATCTGACAGCTATCAGATTATGAAATAGCTATTTTATAATTGTCGAGGGACATGGGAAGTGGAGTGAGTTGATCACGTTCGAGCGATCACGTGATGAGCGATCGATTTGTGATTTATGGATTTGAGTTTATTTCCGCTTGCTCATATATGCGGTTTTTTTCTCGTTTAAAACATCGCTTCATCTATGAAGTTACTAATATATGTTTTTTCGCTTAAGGAGTAGTTCCAATATTGTATGGAGTGATATCCTAATTAATACCTAAATTCTAAGCAGAATCGTAAGGCTCGTAATCAAGTCGCTTATTTCATAATTCTAAGAAAATGTCAAGCGCTTCCGTTCTGCCAATATATATTTAGACGTTAATACTTATAATTACACATTACGTAAGCTATTCGAGTGATAAAAAACGCAATCTTCTTGTTACATGTCAGATGAAACCTTGAAGTGTATACACAAGAGACAATCGGAGGAAAAACGTATAAATCAACAGATATTACAATATTTCATCGACACAATGAACTGCCTGATTTATTACACATCCGCGCTGATAATTTCTTTCAGCCTCTTCTATGCATATGCTAAGTACAAGCTGTCCTATTGGAGTAGACGCGGAGTGAAAAGTCCTCCGACACATTTATTCTTTGGTAATTTTAAGGATTGCATCACCTTGAGGAAGTCGCCGGGTGATAAGATGCGCGAAATCTATAATAGTGCCGATCCAGACGATCCTTACATCGGTTTTTATATTTTCCATAAACCACTATTGCTCTTGCGGGACCACGATCTGATCAAACAGGTAATGATCAAGGATTTTGTCGTCTTCCCGAATCGGCGATTTGGTTCAGGTAGCCAGAGGGATCCAATAGGCCTGGACAGCATCTTGTCCATGCATCAGCCTAGATGGAAATATGTGAGAAATAAACTAACCCCAGTTTTAACCGGACAAAAACTGAAAAACATGATACCGCTGATGATAGAGAGTGGAAAGCCCATGTTGAACTTCATCGAGAACTTGCCGACGAACGAGGATGGCTGGAGTGAGTACGAGATGAAGGATATCAGTAGTCGTTACACCAGCGATGTTTTGGCTTCCTTGACGTTTGGTATTAACATAAACTCTTTCGACGATAACGAGATCGCTTTTTGTAAAACCGGTAAGATCTTGTACTAATTATTGGATCCGTAAAACATGCAGCTTTTGTACATATATTACCTTAATTGGTGAAAATTTTTCTGAAATTTCCTTCATAATTTTTCATAATTTTTATATCAATTTCAGAATTTTTCATATTTCTGCATTTTATAACTTATTAAAAAATTTTTCGAATATTATAAGAATTAAAACACTTTTCAGAAGTGCAGAGAAAGTCTACATTTTTTTCTAGAATTCTTTATACATTGTACACATGTGAATTCTGAGAATTTCTATAAAATTTCTCATTCTACAATTTTTGAAGAAAGCTCATAAAATTTAAAAAGAGTTTAAGATTTTTTCAGAAATGTTCATAGATTTAAAATATTTTTATAACAAATTCTTACAAATATTATTAAATATTAAAAATATTATGCAAAATATTAAAAATATTATAAGAACTTTTTTTATTAGGATATAATCTGCTGAGAATCAGAAAATTGTTTATTCTTCATTATGTATAAAAAAAAAAGAATGTGCTATACATGCATTATATAAATTACGTAAGATGTTATATATTTGCAGGTGCAACAATCTTCAGAGGTTTTATGCGCGGAATTATATTCATTATTCAGTTCTTCTTACCTGATTGGGATTTTTTAGTCGTACCGTTCATTAAAAGACCTGCGAATTATTTTCGCAATATTTTCTGGGATTCCATGAACACCAGAGAAAGGCTGGGATTTAAAAGAGGAGACATGATAGATTCCATGTTGACGCTCAAAAATGGAGAACAAAATCCCATTTACAGTAAAAATTGCATTTGACTTATAAAGTTGAAAAGTAACAACTATCACATCGTTAACACTTACATCTAATGTAGTCTAATATGGTCTATTCTGCTATTAATATTATAAATTTTAATATATTTTTGCTGTGTGCGTCGAACTTACGATAAATTATCGCAAAAAAGAAGAATAATAGACAGAATCGTAAAATTTCTTAGTATTAATTAATGCCATCGTTTAACCATTTATGTTGTAGAGTTTGAAGGAGACAATTTAGTGGCGCAGTCCTCCAGTTTATATATAGCCGGGTTCGAGGCTACCGCGACTGCGATAGCTTATGTTCTGCATGATTTGAGGCATCATCCAGAGCATCAAAACACTATATACAATGAGATACAGACGCAGTTATCAGGAAAAGAATTGACCATGGATCTGATCAATGGATTGTCTTTCTTGGACTCTGTTGTAGTTGAATCACTGAGACTACATCCTCCTCTACCTGTCACTGACAGAATAACTGCAAGGGATTATGAGGTGACTATATATACAAGTAGCTTTATATATTTAGTAAACGAAAATCGATTAAAATGGATTGAAAAAGATTCAATTCATCGTAATGTGAAACTTCTGAAAATCTAAATCTGTTTCAGTGCCCAATGCCTTTTTATTTATTTATATGAAGTATATTTTTTATATCTTTAAAAATATAAGTTTAGTTTTTAAAAGTGGATCATAAATACTGCTCAATTCAAAATTCTGGATATTAGGAAATATATCAGTTTTCCAATCTAATTGAATTCAATTGAATCCAAAAAAAGATTTTTCCATTTTGAATATGTTTCTTTGACATCCTTATATGTATAGATGTGTCTCATTTTAATTTCTCTATTTTTTTTAAATGAAATTATATGATTTTTTTATACAGTTTTTTTTAATACAGTTTTTCTTGTAATTATACACAAAAGTGCTAAAATAGAGATATTTAAAAAACCAATAGTTTATATTATAGAAATATATTTTATTCTGGCACATACTGACATGAAATATTAAATATTGACATTAATCCGTCCACCTCAAAGTCAGATATTGCGTTTGTTCATGATACTTTTAATTTTTAACTTAAAAGTTTATAATATGATATATAATATAATAATTATAGAGATAAATAATGTGCATTCAAATAAGCAATTTGGAGAGTTACGAAACTCGCGAATAGTCGCTGCGGCCATACTGAATCGTGACGTCATAAGCGAGAAATAATGTGTTAATTTTTATTATATATTATTTGTAATTGCGAAAACCACACCAAATTTTAAGAATAAATGAAATATTTTGTCATTAAATCAGAAATATCAGCTATGCAAGCTAATTAATGCTAAAATGCTTAATCCTTTTACTGTAATGATGATGACAATTGAGATTTATGCAGTAATTCTTGAGAATCCTGTTTTGCTTTAAAAATAATATGAAAAACATGTATTATAATTTCATTAATAATTTAACAGTGCTTGCTTTAAAACCAAAATATGCACATAGATAATAAATGTGAAGGATTAAAAATTATTTTATAAGTTTACATTTTCTAATTCATATTTTGTTTATGCTATTTTTATTTAATAATACAATTTGTTAAATTTTGAAGACTTTTTAAAAATTAAGTTTCATATTTTTAAATATGTATTTAGTACTTATAATAACTTTTAAATCCATATCAGATTAATTGTCGTCACGGAAGTTTTTTACTATGTACAGGGTTGGCCATATTCGACGGAAAGATCTGGCAACACTAACTTTTGACAGAGATGTTAGATCGAGTAACGACGTTTCCCATGATTGAAAAAAAAACATCTTTCCGTCGAATATGGCCAACCCTGTATATTAGGTATCAACTTCTTAAGAAGACAAAGAGGGACATTTAAAAAATTCAATATAATTATCATAATTAAATTTTAATAAGTTATTTTTTAAATAATTGTTAACAAAACAGATAAACAATATAATATTATATTTGTAAATAATTAACAATACTTAATTATTATTATAACATGAGATCACAACAAAAATTATGAGAGATTACATTTTATTTTTTTAAATTGTACTTTTCTACTGAATGTATTTTATACATATAATATCTAGGTTTTTAAATTTAAAAAATCATAAAATTTTTTACATATTGGTAAAAAATTGTATTGCACTTATTATTTTCTTATTTTCACTTATTATTGTTACTTATTAGTCTACATTTATTGTTTTTATACTTAAAAGAGGGACAATTTATTGGGTCATCTAAAAAGTATCCGCGGTACTTTGTCATTAGATATATGACCATCAACACACATCTAGTGACAAAAAACCGCGGATACTTTTTAGATGACCCAATATAATCATCATATCCGTAATTTAGGACAAAATGTGGGACATGTAAAATGGGACGTAGAATTGAAATTTGGACTATCCTTCCTAATTTAGGACAGTTGATCATTAACAATAAGATGTGTTAATGCTCAATGGCAATATAATGACTCTATCATTAAAAATTACAGAATCGGAATATTGGTTCCGTAGAGTATAATGTGAATCATTTTATCCTATAATATTCGGTGAACAACAAAAGTAAAACGATTACATCAAGTGCTTTATGGAACTTGGGGCTGATTGTTATACCTTTTGGTAAATTTTATCAAATGTAAATTTTACTAAAATATCTGTGAGGTAAATCTGGTAATCCGCGCATGTAAGTGGGTAATCTTGCTACTTATCAAACAGGTAAAATTTATCAAAAAGTGGAACCGGCCCTTAGCCTGTTATATTCGTTATTAAAAACAATGCATAACAGAGCGTTAAATAAAGTACAAGATCTTTGATAAACAATGTTGCATCGATTGCTTACTTGCAACAACAAATCTCAATCGCAGTCGAATTCCACAAGACGAAATAGGATACACTTATCTTTTCACGTAATAATAAAGTCATTGTCCAGTTCTTTCGAGAAAATGGTTTTTACTTTCTCGCGCAGCCATTCGAGAGTTATCGCAACATTGTTGGTATTGATGACAAATTTGCTTGCTTTTTTATATCTCTTCTCAGAATAACTGTTCCATTCCTTATCTAATTCAAGGTATATTTTGAAATTCAGCTTACTTGTCATCATTTCGGTTCTGCGGATATTAATTCAACTTCAAGTATTTCTTGAAAATAGCGCAAATCGTTAAAGACAAGTGGCGCCAGCCATTAGACGCTTATGGGCCTTTTACAATAAGTCATTAGTCATAAATCAGATGCTAAAAACTGACGACTATAGGTACTTTCCATTTGATGACACAAGTCGACACAAGTGTCGTTCTATCTTTGTCACTTTCTGAATATTAACAAGGATAGAACGACGCTTGTGTCGACTTGTGTCATCAAATGGAAAGCACCCTGTGATTGGTCAATTTTTTAGCTTCTGACTTCTGATTTATGACTAATGGCTTATTGTAGGAGGCCCATTATGGCTGCGTTCCACTTAACGTTCGCAATGCTCGCGACCATCGTTTATCCTTGTTTAACATTTGATAAACGACAAGAAAAAAAAATGATTCCATGAGCGTTATTCCATAAGCGTTAAGTAGAACGCAGCCTATATAGGGCTGCATTCCGTATGATGCGCATGTTGCATTATTTATCCTTGTTATTCATCGAATGTTAAACAAGGATAAATGATGCATCATGCGCACCGTGAAACGGAACGCAGTCTAGGATTCACACAGCATTGCACAGCATTGTTGTACGCGTTCAAGTCGACAAAACGACGAGGGATTCGTTTCGATATCACTGCCAGTGCTGAAACTATGCAGGATACGTTACTTATGCTATAGATTTTCAGCATTGGCAGTGAATATCGGAAACGCACCCTAGAAACCCTAAGTCTGCTCGCCGAGCAATTAAAACATTGGTTTGAATCCACAATTACGAATTAGGGTCAATGCAATGCTGCAAACGCTTTGAAGCGTTTTTTAATTGGTCAGTTTATAAAATTCTTTCTTCTAATCGATCCATCAAATGCTTCAAAACATTTGTAGCGAGACTTTGATCACAATCTTAGGCTTAGAATCAGACTATGCATTGAAGATTGAGATTAAAGATTGAAATTTCACCAATGAAGACAAAGAAATTTTAGCTCCTTTTGTTCTGATTGATCAGACTTCAATCTTTTAATCTTCAATTTTATTCTTTAATACGTTGTCTGATTTCGATCTTAGAGAGCAGAGAGATAGACTTAGGTCGGAATCAAACGCATTAAAGATTGAGATTGAAGATTGAAAGATTGAAATTTGATCAATCAAAACAATAGGAACTAAAGTTCCTTTATCTTCATTGATCGAATTTCAATCTTCAATCTCAATCTTTAATATTATCTCCCTGAAAGAGAGAGAGAGAGAGAGAGAGAGAGAGAGAGAAACTGGGTCATGTGATCCGTCTCCTCTGATTGGACGCGGACATCAAAGCTTGGCTGTGTTCAGGAATTACGCCCAGATAACTCTAATGCATGAAGAAATTGACCAATCACAGTCGATTATTCTTCTCATATTCTATGATTGGTCACTTTGTTACTCTTGCAGTCTCATTCACTACTGCTACTGCCATTGTAGACGACGCATAAAGCCCATTCTACAATGATAGTAAGCAATAGGAAGTAAGAAGTTCTTGTGCGCCTTATCGCGTTCGAACAGCCAATCAGCGCTTTTCCGTATTTTTCTTCCTGTCTTTCCCACGATTGACTGTTCGAATCACGCATCCTCTATCCCGCATGTTGATTCCCGTACCGTGTGATTTCACCCTTAGAGCTGGTTGTTTCATCTTTTGGTAAATTTTACCTGTGAGATAAATCTGGTAATTCAGGCATGTGATTGGGTAATCTTGCTACTTACCCAACAGATAAAAATTTATCAAAAGATGGAACATAAAAATCATTTCATCCTTATTGTTTGTCAAATGTTAAACGAAGATAAAAATAATGCTCATAAGCATTGTTAGCATGAATTAGACCATGGTCTACGATTGATGATCACCAACCACGTTCAGCAGAATTATTTCGTAATGATTGAAAGTTTTTTTTCGCTAAAGTAGGTTATTCTTCTAAATTTATATATTCCTCTAAAAAAGTATAATCCAATTAGCGCGAAGAAAACTTCTACTTTTACTGAACGTGCCGTTGGGCTAGTTAATGATTGCCGATAAGATGTTAGAAAAACTCACTATTGCATATATTCAAAAACTATTATAGTCTCGACATTTTGATATATAATTAGGATTTTCTTAAAATAATCTCAGGAATTTATCTTTAAGCATTGTTACGGTCTTTTATTATTAAGTTTTATATATATTGGGTCATCTAAAAAGTATCCGCGCTTTTTATCACTAGATAGTGTTGACCATCAACACCAATATATATTGTATATATATATTCTGGATTAATAATCGAGGAGAATGTTCCAGTGTATGTTTCTATAAATGCGATAAATCAAGATCCCAAATATTTTTCCAATCCGCAAGACTTTATTCCATCGAGAACAGAAATGAAGGACAAAAAAAAGTTTTACGAATCCTTGGCATTCGGTATTGGACCCCGATCATGTATAGGTAAGTTAGAAAATATTGGGTCATCTAAAAAGTATCGGCGGTACTTTGTCACTAGATATATGACCATCAACACACATCTAGTGACAAAAAACTGCGGATACTTTTTAAATGATCCAATATAACTCGAAAGACATTATTTTTTCTTATAAGTATATTATTAGAAATTTATATTGCAATTTATATTGAATTTCAGCACAGAGATTTGCCTTATTAATTATAAAAGTGGCGATAATTATGATCATCTCGAATTACACTATATCTTACAAAACAAATAAGAAACATGACTACAACACTATTCACGTATTCACATATCCGCTAGATGGCCTGTATGTTAAATTCAAGAAACGTAATTAGGCATTTACTTCAAATTAACACAGCGTATTTTACTTAATTTTATTTCCATAATAAAGTTAAACTCGTGCGTCATATTTTAACCTTTTTATTTTGCACATATTTATTCGATTTAGTTCTCAATAAATGTTAAAAAATGAAATAGACTACAACGATAAAAAGACGAGTACAAAATATTATACATTTTTAAATAAATATTGGGTCATCTAAAAAGTATCCGCGGTTTTTTGTCACTAGATGGTGTTAACCATCAACATCATCTAGTAACAAAAAACCGCGGATACTTTTTAGATGACCCAATATTTATTTAAAAATGTATAATAGAATATTTTTTAAATTAGTCTCCGACTTAAGCTAGTCACTTCTCACACTTTCCGTAAAAGTAAGAGGCTCCGCATAATAAAAAGAACAGGGAAACAGAGAACAGAAAATAAGAATTTCAATCTATCAAAAATCATGTATCGTGGAAACACCGTTTCTGATAGGTTGAAATTCTTATTCTCTGTTCTCTGTTCCTTTTATTGTGCAGAGTCCGTAAATTTAACATAGGTTTTCGCATTGCGATTCTATAATAATCAAGCAATGCGATTGGTTGAAAACCTTACTGTTACTGTATGGAAAGTGTGTATGACTAGAGCTATGGCACATAAAACACTTATTTTAAATTCGGTTCAACTTACTCTTCGTCTGTTTCTAATCTTTAGAACTAAAAAAAGACGAAGAGTAAGTTGAACTGAGATTAGAGTTAATCTATATTGATGGAAATGGGCATTAAGCAGTAAGATGTAAATATATAAAGAAATCAACATGTTGAATTGGCTATTGTTTATGTTATGGCTTTAGGGACTCTACTGTGATCAATTCGCTTACTGCTTATATTTTACTATTAGGAGTACAAATAAGTTTCCGCCGTTTGACAAAAAACTGTGCCATAGCAAGCTATGGTTAAAATTGTCTGATGTAAAACGTTATATCGTAAGGTTTGGTCTGTCAACAACAACCTTGAAATATTAGCGATTTTGTATCAGCATCATATATTTTTTTTTGTGCGAAAATGCCGAGTTTTGGGCCGAATAAGCGTCATTTGCGGGAACTTTTGATTTACTTCTTTAATTTGAAGAAATATGCAGCTGAGGCTCATCGATTGCTTGTAGAAGCATATGGTGAGGCTACCTTAAGTGAGAGAAGTTGTCGTGAGTGGTTTCAAAAGTTTAAGAACGGTGAATTTGACGTCGAAGACAAAGAACGTAGCGGAAGGCCGAAAGTGTATGAAGACGCGGAATTGGAAGCATTATTGGATGAAGATTCGTGCCAAACGCAAAAAGAACTTGCACTTGCATTAGGAGTGACTCAACAAGCAATTTCACATCGTTTGAAATCATTGGGAATGATTCAAAAGCAAGGGAATTGGGTTTCATATGAACTGAAGCCGAGAGCGGTTTTCCATATGTGAAATCTGCTTGTCAGGCATAAACGAAAGGATTTTTTACATCGTATAGTCACTGATGATGAAAAATGGATCCACTATACGATAATTCAAAGAAGAGGAAATCATGGGGATCACCTGGCCATGCTTCAATATCGACAGCCAAGCCGAATATTCATGGAAAAAAACTTATGTTGTGTATTTGGTAAGATCGTGTATTATGAGTTGCTCAAATCGAACGAAACCGTTACTGGGGCTCTCTACCAAACACAATTGATGAGATTGAGCTGAGCACTCAAGGAAAAACGCGCCCACTACTCCAGGCATGACAAAATTGTTCTCCTGCACGATAATGCTCGATCACATGTTGCGGCGCCGGTCAAAACCTACATAGAAACTCAAGGAGGGAACTCTTGGGAAGTTCTACCCCACCCGTATTCACCAGACATTACCCCTTCCAATTACCATCTATTGAGTCATCTAAAAAGTATCCGCGATTTTTTGTCACTAGATGAGTGTTGATGGTCCACAATAAATGCTTAATTTTTGATAAAAAATGGCGGAAACTTATTTGTACTCCCAATACATAAGTTTTTTTTGTGTGTCATGGCCCTTTCAATAAATATTTTTTAAAATGAGGCACAGAAGAGATGTAAAGAAGAATACAAAATGTTATCGCAAAGATTGTATATTTACAAATGTATAACAATATAATAATATATATATATATATATATCTTTAAATAGTACAATACGTTACATTCTTTAAAATCAATTTATTATTATGTATACGCACATGTCTTGCATAATTAACGGATGAAAGGTGTACGATTTCTATTCAGGTAACTATGCATTATATAAAATATCCGTCGTACACGAATTTCGATAGTGTAAGTCATGTATTTATATTTGTCATTATTTGTGCTTTCTTAAGACGTACTCTATTATATACTCGATTTGTCGTGGTTCTCCCATTTACACAATTTTATTATGCAGAATGCCACAAAAAAATTAAATTACATATTATTAGATTATATCGCAAGTAATACATGCTAATACACTCACAAAAAAAATATAATGCATTGTTGTGTATATGCATGTATCATGTATTATATTATTAAATACTTATACCTATTATATTGCGAGGTCAACAGTCTTATACTGTTAACAATTAATAAAAAGATGATTTCTGAAAGATCTTTTTGAACACAATGTGTCAATGCATGACAAGATTCGCAATTATGTGTTACAGTATAACTTACAGTTTTGTTTCATGTTTCACTCGTGTTCGGAGTAATTGACTCGGTCGTAGGACACCATGAGAATTATTCGAATAACAATTATTAGACATAATGTTAGACGCGCCGTACTCTGCATTAGGATTGGCAGCATCGTTCTCTTCATTATTTTCGTATATGTGACGCCTTTGCAAGATTTCATCATAATTATGAACATGATTAGCCTTCGTTTGTGCCTCCGAGTCCGTTTCATCCTCATTATCAGCACTATCTACATCGCCTGAAAAATTTCAACATTGTTAAAAATGTGATCCGTAATTAACTTGAGTTATCTTAAAAATTTCTGCAATGTAGTATAGATCCCTTATAGAAATTCAACTTAATATTAGAAGATAGTAATTAATCACTACCTTCCAGTACTACATTTCTGTAAGCAATTATTAACTACAATATAGAGAAAGAGATAAGAAGCGTACTCACCGTCAGAGCTATTGGTGGACGGAAGATAAAAACGTGAAGAATATATTTTATTATTTCCCACGCGACGCTCTCGTTCTCTCACGGCGCTGTTAGGATTATATTTAAATTCGCGAGGTAACGTATAACTCCTAGGTAACGAGACTTGACTACCTTCCATGTCGCTGACTTCCGCTTCTCCATCGCCTTCACCCTTAGAACTTTCTTCGACGCCGTTTTGATTCGCATGCAATCTGATGAAATGAAATTTGAATCAACTGACTCTTCCGAATTGATTGTTCAAACATTGATTGTACTTTTATTACCTATGACTGAGATGTCCAGGCGGTGACCAATGGGGATAATGATGCGGAAGACATCGCGGTGCTAATAATATCTCCGGCGTGTCCGCCCGTTCTCGTTGAGAAGCTGCTCTCCACGGATTCGAGGGATTAGGGTAATACGAAGAGGAAGGTGGTGGAGGTAAAAGGCAATGCATTTTGATGGGCGGCCAAGACGATAAGGCATTACTACCGTTCTGCTCGCAGAATGATGGCGGAGACGTGAATAATGGGGAACTCGGAGAGGTATGCAGTTTCGTGTTCGGTGGTGGTTGCTGATTAGATGCGGAAGGGGAGGACGAAAAAGAGGATGTAGAAGCGGAAGGAGGTGGGAACAATTTACCTTCTTTGATCTCTTCTTGTATCGCTCGCAATTCTCGTAGCTGTTGTTGTTTTTTTTCTTTCAGTTTCTCGCGTATTAACGTGACATTCAATGAGCCACTGATTGCCATATCAGTTTCTTTGTGCTCGTTGGAACCATCGTTCTATATTGAGAGATTAATTACATTGTAACAACAGTTTTATTGCAATGAGCAAATATGCAAAGAGAGGAAATCAAAACATAAAATGAATGTATTTATTCTTCACATACAATATACGTCAGTAAAATATATACAATATAATTTTTTCAATATAATCGCTCAAGTTTGTATAACACATTTAGTATAACTGTCCATAAGACTTTTGATTCCGCCTGTAAAAAAGGTTTTGACTGTTCTCAAAATTCGAAAAGTCACATACTTCTTAAATTCTGGTGATATTCGGTTACTCGAACTGTATATTGAATAATTAAATGCTGTTGTTATATAAACAGTGACATAATTTAATCAATCTTAATAATAAAATAATACGTATATTTTATTATAATACGTATATTTTATATTAAATATATCGTGACAATATCATTATTCATTGAAAATATTTATATGCTTTTACATTACTTTGCTAACTTCATATAGTAGTAATTTAGTATAATGCAAGTGACTAAATTCATTATAAAACTGAAACTTGAAATTTTGTCACGTTCAGTGCTGGGTTCAGATTCCCATCTAAGTGTCGCCCAGGTATCACTTTATCCTTGTTGTTTACCAAACAACTTATTGAACAAGGATGATATAATACTCGGACGGCGTGGAAATCCGAATACATCCCTGCATACAGTTCTTGCTGCTTCCGATTTCCATTTTGTTTAGTTTGTTAAAGAAAGTCTTGATCTCTATAAGTTCCTTGATACAAGTACTTAACGTTCGCTATACTCTTGAAGTCATTTACAAATGTTAACAAGAACAAACAGTGCTTACGAGCGGCCAAATGGAAGCCTTGATGGGCCAAATGCCAGTGATAAATTATCTTAGAATTTAGGAAGCGATGCATATATTTTGAGGACAGCCAAAAATCTTATTCGCAGACAAAAGACTTGGATCATTACACAAAAAGTGTAGCAAAACTGTTCGATTATATTGAGAAATGATGTTGTATGCATTTTGCTAACGTATATATGTTAAAGGAATAAATAAATTTAATTTACTTTCTAATTCGTGGATTTATAACAAATATCTACCTGTACTACATTAGAAGATATCGGTTTCTTCCAAAACGGAATCAATTGCCGCGATC